TTGTTTATTGCTTTCCTGATGACCTTTACACGATTTCCGATAATATTGTAAGGTAATGGGTTTATATGTTAACTAACTGTATATTTAAAATCAATTTAACTGCAGCTTATGAGTCATAAATTCCTAGTACATGTCGTAGCATTACTCACATAAGTGTATTGTCGAGAAGCTATGTAATTTATTCTAGGGATTCTTTAAGATTAAAGTTACTAATATATAACTAGTGTTATACAATAGATGAAGTACATATGTCGTTGAGCACTTGTTACTTTGAAACAATAATTGACGTAATGCGATTAAAATGTAGATTTAAGGGAAGCAAATGATTATTTATTAAAGCAGTGACATTTAGTTAGTTCAAACTTTACGATGTGCAATAGACCATGGTATATTTTTTATATCAGAGGATTCTATAGATATTTCTTTTAATATATCATTAATCTCCATAAAAAGTATCGATAGTTTTGTAAGAAATTTAGAATTTTCTGATATTCAGCACCAAGCTTATGTAAAGTCTGTTATGGTTTATATTTCCAAGAAGGGAGAACGAGACTTTTGATCGATAGTATCGACAAACATTATGTAATTGAACAAAATGAAGATTTAAAGCTATTCACTATATTGTCGTAAGCCAAACAGATAACAGATAGCTGATCTCTTATTAATATACTATATTATTTTAAATATCGACACTCGAGCAGAAAAAGTTATCGATATAAAGCTTAGTGAAATTTTGAGTAGATGCAGTTTTAGCAAAGATTTATAGATTTATATGTGTTTATGTGTAATCTTTTTATATAAGTTATATTTATATATACCGTATGGTATATATATTCATCACTATTTTATAATCGATTGAAACTGATAACTATCAGCTGATACATTGATGCCCTCAACTAATCTTATCTTTGCTTTTATTTTCTTTTTAGGTAAGTAAAAGATAACTTTTTGAATACAATCAGTGAATTGAGATCTCGAGCACTTTTGATGACGCATACTTATAAATGGGTAACTAAAGCAATCTGATACGTATTTTATACGAAACTTATTGCAATCAAACTATTAAATAGCTTATATATTTAAAATATTTTTAATTACAGCTATAAATAAATCTATATATTTATTTATATATACACATATGTATTCATGCACTTTAGGCCTGAAGCTGTGTTACCATAAATTTTGAAGCAAACGTGTATCAATTTAATATGCTCGAGGCGGACTAAGCACGAGCTTTATTTTTGTTTTTTTGTTTTTAACATTCTTTAACAATTACGAGTTCAATAGCGTTCACAAGAACTCAACAGTTGGCATTTAAAGCGCATAATTTGAATTTAAACGTATTGTTTTATTTATTATTTTGTTTTCCATATTGTTCTTGCTTTAGGCTCTGACAAAATGTCAAGCAACAAATGAGCGCAACAAGTTAATTATATTAAGCTGATCTTTACAATCAAACGCACTTTATGACTAATTACACACGTAAATGAAGCTCGTTTATCTTGTCAGCACCTGTGTTAAGAGACTGATCGAGAGCGAGAGCGAGAGAGAGACAGAGAGAGTGAGAGAGAGAGAGAGAGAGCACAGAACAAAGACAGAGAGCAAAAGGCTACAGACAAAGAGAGTTGATTTTTTTGCTGTTTCTATCTCTCTCTCTGTTTTAGAAGAGCATGGCTGCAGAAAAAAGTGTCAAATCAGCTGTTGCAGCTTGGACAAATCTTGCAGAGAGCGTGACCATTGCGGAGTCAGCGTCTTCAGCTTGGTGCAAAGCTCTTGGCGTATAAGAGAAGAAAAGAGCGTACTTATACACACACGCACACACACAGTCAAAGCTGGGCTCAAATGGCGCTCGAAGCGCGCATAGTTATATACTCTTACACTTATACTGCTTGTGAGTGTGCGTGTGTGTGTGTGTGTGTGTGTAAGACGTACCGCTGCGTCGTTTTCGTGCGGTTTAAAACCTTTCTATAAAAATTTCATAAACGTATCAGTTGTCTGCGAAGCGGTGCACAAAACAGACGTCGAACGGAAGGTGGCAAAACGATATTTAAGAAAATCAATAAATATTTATACATCAAGTCCAATACAAAATAACGTGTGTTTATCAAGCATAAAATTTATATATATATATACGGGTATATATATAGGAAATTCAATTCAATTCAAATTGCAAAAAATCGCGCTACATCAAAACTTTGTGCGTGCGCGGCATGTTGGCATACTTATAGCTGCAACTGTTTTTCTTTGTTCAACAGTGGCTCTAAATAACGTTCGTCTCTATATCTATTCGTATGTGTAAATATCTATGAGTGTGTGTGCGTTTGTGTGTGTGTGTAACGCGCGTGTTCGTGTGTGCATAAGTGCACTTACATTGTGATATGGAGCAGCAGCAGCACGCGACTTTGCAACATTTCTTAGCTTAGCTACATGTTGCTACAACATACGATCAAAAGGTAGAGATGAAATCTTCACTGCAAGCAACAACGACAACAACAGCAAC